GTTGATTGATCTTAACACAAAAATATTTGAATTGTTATCCTCAAGAGTGAGGAAAGAAATTACATGGACAACTTAAGTTGTCAGGTCATTTTCCACAAGAATATTTGAATTCAGAAATTACCCTCACTCCTCAGTCCTCACTGTGTTTGACATTGAATTGAGTTTCAAATTTTGTAGAAGTCAGCCTCGCATCTTAAAGATAGACACTTAAGTTCTATTCGACGATTATACCCCAGTAAACTTTTTGGTGTGTGAACCATATTGTTCGATTAACTCATCATATTTGGATAAAATCACACTTACAGCACTTATAAAGTTTACTTCACCTGCATTCCTCTCGACAAAGAGCAGGCCTTAATAGAGCTAAATGTTGGAAAACAATTTCAGTTTCTGATCTCAGGTTTTTGATTCAACATCGGCTGTCGGCTGATATCTCAAACCCTTTAGAAAGAGAAATTTGGACGTTTTTTTGGGTGAAAGAACTTGTTGCTTGTGAGGGGAAGCAGAAGGATGCATAGCTCTGTCACAGCCCAGGCCTGCGAGCCTGTTGGCGGGTGCATGCCTTGGGACCCACTGAGTGTAATGTGTTGTTTGGCTAAATCTACTGCCAAAATCTACTAGCTGATGCTACGCTCAAGTTTTTAGCTTCACTATGGGCCTGTTTGGTTCACCATGGACTAGGAATAGGATTAGGAATCCTATTTAATTTATGGATTCCAACCTAATCCATAAAAATTTTATAGACAAGTTTGAGATTTATGGAATCCCACTTTTTTTGGCTTTTAATGTTTGTTTCACCCAAAGGATTAGTAATCCCACTTTTATAGAATTGTTCCAATTCCTAATACCAAGTTTGGTTCAATGAGGCAATTTTTTTTGGGATCGTCACTGTAGCAACGGAAATAACCCCCAAAAAAACAGATTTTCTTGCATCAACCACTGTAGCAATGGCTATTTAAGCCCCCAATTGCTTATTTCCAGCAAAATAAACGCTGTAGCAACGGTAATAAGCCCAGGAATCAGAAATTGCAAGCATCAAGCACTGTAGCAACGGTTGTTTATAGTAATCACTGTAGCAACGGCTAGTACAAGGGGTATGGTGTCTATAAATACACCTTGAGGCCTCACATATAATCCCATCTTTCTCATTTTTCAACCCAAAAAAAATTCCCAAGCTCTTCAATTTGCTGCAGGATGATATCAGAAGGGTGCCATGCTAATTATGAAGTTTATTGCGACTGCAATCTCCAAACACCGATGAAAGTGTGCAAGAATGGAAAAAATAAGGGTAGGTGTTATTGGGGGTGTGCAAAATTCCCAAATAAAGAATGCAATTTTTTCGAATGGGCTGAAGAAAGAGGAGAGTCATCAAGCAACCAAGGAAGCTAATATGTCAAAGAAAATAGGTACGGAGATAAATATATCTTGCAATCAAAGAAGCTGAAGAAAGAATTGAGACTTGTCGAAAATCAACTACTAGCTTGGAAAATTTCGGCAATTTTCTTAGCAATTTTTTGTGTTATTTTAATTATTACAAACTTCATGTCATGTACTTGTAATTGCAAAAACTATTGAGGATGTAATAAAAACTGTTGTTTGACTTGGGTACAAATTCTAATTGATATTGTATGGCTCAGTAATAGATCAACTTGTCATCATTGATTGCCCCACCTATAACTTACATGTTTATTACAGATTGCATTATAAGGATGAATTGCCTCGCCTAGACATTGTCAATTCAATGTAGGCTGCAATGTCATCCCCTTTTGCCTCATCTGGATATAATAAACAATGTAAGTTAGATTGCATTCTCAGTAAACGCTAATCATCACCATTGCCAAATATCAAGTGCAAGGAGCTACACAAGCTGAAAACCAAACCGCAAATTAATCCACAGGCAAGGAAAACCAAAACAGCTCCCACAAAGCAGCAACCCCCATTACAGGATCTACACAAGCTCTGAACAAAACAGAAACAAACCCAGGGGTCAAGAGCTACACAAGCTCAGAACCAAAAAACAACAAACCCAGCAGCAAGGAGGTAGTAATCCATTCATTGCAGACAAGACTTTATTGAAATACCTGCTAACTGTTTCCCCTGATCTTATGAACTCAGTTCTTATTATTCTATTTTTAGTTTTGTGCCCAATAATACTCAAGAACATAGCAAGTTGTTCTTCAACTTGAACGTGTCTCGTATCTTTTAATAAACCGTTTGCTTTCATTACTTCAACAAGTTTAAAAAATGCCCTCGGTCTCATTCTAATATAAGATTGGCAGCTATCTTGATAACCCTCCAATACACGTCTGAAATGAGCCTCTCTACAACTTATTTTCCTGACCCTTTCTTGCGGCGAACAATTTGGTATTCTCTTGCGCTTAGCACGCATTCTCAAAATACATGTTACCAAAGTGACCACGGCGCAGACAGCTGTATTAGCACACATCCTCTTCAATTCTTCCTCATCTTCCATATCCATCTACAACCGTTTTAAAATTATCATACAGTTACAGCTTAAGATGGCTACTTATTTCTTGTCAAAATTAAGTAGATAATTGATACAAATATTTATTTCTTTTAAAGCAAGAAATCTAATTGCAATAATAAATTATTTTAACTAATGTTGCATTCCATCTCACACAATTCTAAACAAGCAAGATAGACCCAAAACAAACAAACTATATGGTTAGATTACTAATAATTTACACGCACACAAAAAAATTAAATAAAGTAAAAAAAACAGCAATTTAAGTTATTAAAAGACTGATTTGAAACATATTATGAAATTAATCTCAAATCGGATATCCGCATGAAATTAATGTACCTAACAACCTAATTCTTGCAAATTTACAAAAAATCCACTACACAGAGACCCGCATGAATTATTTTGCTGTAATATTATGAAATTAATCGAACAAATCATTGAAATTGCTGTGTGTGTGCCTCTATTTCTCATATGCTTCAAAATTAAATTTAATTTTTCAAATCACTGGAAAAAATGGACAAAGTAAAAGGAGGAAATTTTTATACCTTACTGCAGAGGGGAAAATGCCGACGTTCAAGCTCGTGGAAATCAAGAAGATCCCAACCCAAGTTGAAGAAGATCCCAACCAGAAGGGATCACCAAGAATCGAAGGCAAGAAAACCAGCAACAATCTCGTGGAAATCAAGAGCTAGGGTTTCGAGAAAGAGGCCCGACCCCAAGTATCATCGTAGACGAAGAAGCGCGGGAGCAGAGGCGCGAGGAAGAGGGCGATTGAGGCGGGAGCGGCAGAGCGATTCCAGATCTAGGGATCGAAAGCGTGAAGCCAGGAATCGGAATCGACGAGGAAGCTCAAGTGTCAGAAATCTCGCCCAAATCGGAAGCAAATGCTCGGATTTGGGTTTCTACAAAAAAGGACAACTGTAGCTACTGTGTAGAAGATGTAATCCCAAAAAATTTTGCTGAACCAAACTCCAGAATAGGATTCACAAAGAATCCATAATTTACGAAAATGCCACTGTCAGAACCCAATTCCTAATCCTATTCTATAAAAGCCTGAAACAAACAGGCCCTATATAAACACTATAAGTTCACACTGTCCCACCAATGTGGGACTAAATGGGATGTCACAATCACCCCACCTTATAAATGCGATGTCCTCATCACGCGACATGACAATTTGCACATCCTAGTATCGTCAGGGGATGTGGACTCTTGAGGTGGTTCCTACGGGCGCTAGAGGTGGTTCCCACCGCGCTCACCTGGTGTAGCACTTACCGCCATGCTAGCACTTTTTGGCAATAGATTTAGCCTAACAATGCGTTATACTCGGTGACCCCACAGCTTATATCGCGCAAACTCGCTCGCGAGCCCGTGGCGTGACAACTCACCGCTTAATAGTTTATTGTGCAAAGCAATAATAAATAGACTTAGGTATCCATAGTTTGACTTAATATGTGATGATTTATGGGGCTTTTGTTATGAAATAAAGGATTGACCTAGAGCAATCAACCAAGAAACTTGAAGTTATTCCTTTGCTTTTTGTTCATATGCTTACTTAAACGCTGGAATTGAGGAAGTTATTCCTATTTCCTAGTATGGGCTTACTATGCATCCAAATGAAGAAATTCTCTTTGTTCTTTGACACAAATTTTGACATTGTTTCATCTATGAGATGATAGAGGAGTAGTACATCAAAATGCACGTTCTTCTCAAATGCTTGGCGGCTAAGACTAGACACTAAGGACCTGATAGAATTGCTGGGTTCGATACTGAAAAACAAATTTCAATTTCAAATTAAACTTGTTCTCTGTTGATGGTAAAGATAGGAAACTCTCACTTCCTTCCTCTTTTTGCAATCCTTGTCACCTTGAGCATGCGACCTTTACTAGTCATCCCATCATACTTACCCTCTAACCATCAAACCTCAGGTGATTAGCTTTCCAAATTCAACTTGTAGCTTGAACTATTCAATGTTCCTATATTACCTCTAGAAAGCGACTAAATTCTAGAAATCAAGTCGCTGATCCAGCTGATCACCGGTTAGAAATTTATTGCACCTCGCTTATTGTATTCGGTCAGAGTTGTTATAAATGATCAGCTTTCAGCCAGAGTTGCTGACCTGACTGAAGGTTGATCGTTTTTTATAGTTAAACAGTAAATTATTTAATTTTCTTAAATATATGTTGTCCTTTAGAATGGTATTAATTTGAGCGCATACGTGAAAGCAGGTCCCTTGCGGATATATTTTTTAGGGAACTACTCTTTGGATAGTTTCTCAAATGGATAAAGTTCATAAAACCCCCAAGAAGTTTGGCTCATTTTGAGATAATCCACAGCAAGTCTTTGCATTTTCAGCCATCGGGTGCTTTAGAGGAGATGTTACGTACACTTTAGTAACAATTGGTGTTAGCGGTATCTGTGATACACTGATACGTTGATAAGTTGTATCCATTGCTTAAGAACATGCCCATTTCTATATTTCCTATGGTCTCTGCGTAATTCAAGAATTCAACTCCCTCAGGTTTCAGTTGCAGTCATCATTCAACAGTGTTCTTGTTTGTTTGTTTAGTTCATTTTGCAATTTTTGAATTGCTTTGGATCTCAGGGTAAATAACGGTGATATAGCTGATGGAGCCTGATTTTGATTGAGTAATAAAGGAGAAATTCCAAAGATTTTTTAAAAAAATAGTCAATGAATGTTATGTCAAAACATTTCATCTCCAAAATATTGTTAATGAATGTTATGTCAAACATTTTCATCTTTACAATATTGTCATTGAATGTTGTGTCAAATATTCTCATCTCCAAAATATTATCGTTGAATGTTATCTCAAACATTTTTCATCTTTGCAATATTGTTGAATGTTATGTCTTGGTGAAGGAAACTTGGACACCATACTTTAATATTAACAATGTTGTTATCTGCAGTGATAGGATGACCAGGTACATAATTCTGAGTTAAGATTAGTTTTCGTTACCCATACAATAAAAGGGTTTTATTATGAAGATTAAACATCGATGTAGAATGAATACAATTCTTGTATATATATATATATATATATATATATATATATGCATCATG